TTTAACTCTAACATATTCTCTATTTTAAAGATTTTAATATAAAATTATTAAAATATTTTATATAATTATCATTTTAATATATTTTTTAGAAGCTTATATAAAATAATAATAATTCAATTTCATTGGTAAGTATGACAAAAAAATTAAATTTTCCATTCACACATCAAAATTAGACATGGGGATGGATCGGGGATCTCAATCTCCGTCCCCGTCCCCGATTACTTATCTCTGTCCTCGTCTCCGTCCTCACCGAGGAATATAATCACATCTCCATTCACATCCCCAACGGGGAAACATTGATTTTTTTTCCATTTATGTAAGTTATTTTAAATTAACTATGTAAGAAACCATATGTTTAAATCTCAAACATTCTCAATAAACCTAAAACCAAAATGAATTTAATTTAATACAAAAAATCACATCATAAAAAAACTAATAACTTAAAAAAAAACTTAAATTTACATGTATCAAAAGATATTGAGTAATATAAAACCATATCGACTAATATACAAAACTTATCAAATTGTATTTTGACTTGACATCCAAAAAATTGCATATTAACATCCAAAAAATAACAATTTTAAATTATAAACCTAGTTAGAAAATAGGAAATAGGAAATTATAAATTAACACTTTAGTTGAAATAAATAATATATATATGTATAAATATATATATATATAATTTATTAATTAATATATATATATATATATATATATAATGGGTACAGGCTCGGGCGGGGAGTACCATACCCGTCTCCATCTCCGGTTTGAGACAAACGGGGATCCTTGTCCCCATCTCCATCCCCGTTTCCGACCGAAATGGGTGGACCGGGTTATCAGACGGGTCGGGTCCCATTCTCATGCCTAATAAAAAATTTAGAAAATTCTTTACATTTTTTTATTTTAAAAAATAATATAAAAAATCTGTTAAATAACAAAAACTTCAGAATTTTTAGTGTCCAAAGTTTATTTTACATCTAATACAGGGACCAAAAAGCAAATACTGTTTCCAATTTAAAAATCTGACTTCAATCCCTCGCCAAAACCAGAAGAAAACCAGAAAAAGGGATGGCGGAAGAGGAGAATGGTGTGACGGCCGGCGGGGAGTTTTACCTGAGGTACTACGTAGGGCACAAGGGCAAGTTTGGACATGAGTTTCTGGAGTTTGAGTTCCGACCTGACGGGAAGCTCCGTTACGCCAACAACTCCAACTACAAGAACGACACCATGATCCGCAAAGAGGTCTTCCTTACCCCTTCCGTCCTCAAAGAGTGCCGTCGTATCGTCTCCGATTCCGAAGTTAGTGTTTCTTCACCTATCTGTTTCATTTTGGCTTGATTTGCATTTTGTTAGGGTTTTAACATCCATTTAGGTTTTATGTTTTTTTTGATCCGTCATCATTATCTGTGTCTCTGACTTTCGTTAATTAGTGAAGAGTTAGTAATTCAGTCTGAGAGGTTGAGATTCTGGTAAGATGGAAGAGACATACTAACTAGGATTTATGGATGTCATACCGAATTTATGGATTCATGCATAGCTTACTGAAATAATTTGCAACGAAAAGTTGGTAACGTATGGGCGTTTTTGTTGTAGATTATGAAGGAAGATGACAACAACTGGCCTGAACCAGATCGTGTAGGACGACAAGAGCTTGAGATTGTGATGGGCAATGAACACATCTCGTTTACTACTTCGAAGATTGGGTCACTGATGGATGTTCAGACCAGTAACGATCCTGAAGGCCTCCGCATCTTCTATTATCTCGTTCAGGTATGTAATGAATTTCTATCATTGATTTCAAGCGCAAAAGGTCAGGGCAATCGCATCAATTGCATATTGTTTTTTTGGTTCATGCTTCTATTGCCGTTCTTACAGAAATTACAAAAACTCGACCTACATGGTGTATTTCTTATGTTATAATATATATATATATATATATATATATATATATATATATATGCGTCTGTGTGTATAGTAGAGGTATAGTCGAGAGGATTATGGCTGAACAGAAGTTGGTTCACCATTCAACAACAGCAGAATAAGATATTCACCATACTCGATTTCTAATTTCCAGTCGTCCCATTTCCTGATTCAGATTTACTGGAGTCTTGACTGTTTTGTGAATGCTACTTGATATTTGTCTTTGAAAACTCTTAGTAGTTCGTATGATCCAAAATTTGGGGATTTCGTTAATCTGGTCTAAGAATGTCCTGGATTCCTAATTTCTAAATGTCCCGTTTTCTGATTTGGATTTAACGTAGTCTTAAGTTGATATTTGTCTTTGAAAAATCTCAGTATGATCTGAAGCTTGGTATGCAAGACAGGGTCTTATTAGTCTGGTACTCTGGTCTAAGAATGTTCAGGGTAGAGCAGTTGTGAGCTGCAAAGTCTATTTAGGAGTCAGTTCTGATGGAAACTTTAGAAATATGTGTAAAATATTTACAATTGTATCATAGAAGTGGTGATCAGTAGCAGGAAGGATCTGTGGCTAATCTTTCCGCTGGTCCGCTTCATGCACAAGTTTCAGATATCAAAGATGATCATTTTTCACAAATGTTTTTGCAGTTTAACATTCATAAGCATCGTCGATTCATCATACATGTTATCATAATGGCTAGTTAGCTACTTCCTATGAATCGCTGAATCTATTTCTTTAGTCTTAAAATTGGTTGTGTCCACGTCATAGTTGTTAAAAGCGCGCCTGAGGATCGCCTAGGATCTGAGGCTCATAAGGCTCAAGGTCTTGGGCTTTTTCAAAGTTGAGGCTAGGCGTATTTATGAAGCTCACTAAGGCGCTGCACCTTGGCCGAGGCGCCTTGTGGGCCTAGGCATGCCTCATAAAGAGTTACTAAATACCTAGTCAAACCCTAATATTAAATAATTTTCCTCATCTTCTCATCTCATTATCTCATAGACTTCTTAAAAAAAGAGATAACCCCTTCCATCCTAAAATAAGTGTCCATATTTCTATTTTGTTTGTCACGAAATAAATGTCCACTTCAAAAAAATAAGTGCACACTTCCCCATTCTACCCTTAATTATCATATGAAGAAATTAATTCTCTCTCTATTACTAAGGGTAACATTGTCATTTAGTTCATTAAAAGTGTAATAAGTACAATTCTCTAACCTGTGTGCTTTTTTCATCGTGACACTTATTTTGGGACGGGGGAGTGTTAAATGGATAAGTCAAACCCTAATACTAAATACCCAGTCCTTAGAACTTCAAGCATCCTCTATAATATTTCTGGTTGCTGCATTGGAGGCTTGTACTTGCTGCATATTTGAGTTGTGAGTAACTGTATGTTTGTGTGTGTGTATTTGATAAGATGCGCCTCGCATTTATGAGGCCTGTGCCTTGCGCCTAGTCCCCGGGACCCCTTTGCGCCTAAGCCTTGAGCCTTTAACAACTTTGGTCCATGTCCTGTTTGGTGCATGGAAAAATTTGATACCAACGAAGGCAAGACATGTTGATTAAAATTATCTGGGGGTTAGTTGTATTATATCTACATTTCAGAATACAAATCATTTTGGGGAAGAGGAGTGCTATCCTTGATTAGGTCCCAACTTGTATCTCCTTGGAACTGCTTGGCAATCTAAGTCGGCTTTAGGATTTTTAATTGTTTGACTTTCAATACACCGGAATTTGTCTAGTTTTTAGTCATCCTCTTTGTTTTTGCTCAGGTTTTCATTTTGGTTGAGTCCTATCATACCCAATTTCTTCTCAAATTTTTGTAATAGTTTTTAGTGTTGCAGTATAAACATTCAGTTTGTACTCATTCCATTCTGGACATTAGTTGTACCTGGTTATCTCATTAATTAATTTGTTTTGCATTTTCAAAAAAATGGTAGGTGCTTTTACAAGGTTCGTTGGATATCACATAGCAGTTTTACTTCCCGAGGGATAGTMTAGTTCACCATRGTTATGTATTATGAAGTGAAGAGTGAGAATAAAATATATTTTTCAACATGAAGTCTAAAATGATGCCTTTTAGCCCATCAACATCATCCGTTCCCTATCCCAAAATAGAACAGTTRGTCATTAAATMTTTTGTTCCTACTTTGTGCTAATTGTCTGAAATATATCTCTTCCTTTTTCACCCTGACTATGTTATTTGCTGGTTAATTTTCTAAAGAGGATTATCCCGTGTGAGGCTAATTATCCATCCTGAAGGAACATAAAGATAATRCTTTTTATCCGTTTGGACCTTCTATGACTTTCTTATCACTTTACCATTCTCTTTGAAAGTTGTACCAGGGTTGGTTTGAGAAGGAAGAAGAAAAATTGAAAGAATGTAAAATGAAACAACTTAAACAAGGCATATGGAGACGTGGAAATGGAAAAAAGATGTAGAACTATGAGTTTAGTTTTACATTCATCAATGCCTTCCCCATACGGAGACAGCTTGGGGTCTTCATGGAAACAAAACATTTTTGCAAATATTTTTTTAAAGCCGGATCCTCTTTGGGACAGGGGACAAGTCTACGTACATCTCACCCCCAAGACCTTAGTGGCACATAGCGGGTGTGTTTGGTTTGGTTTTTTATGCCTTGCCCTTGAGGAATCAAATGTACAAGTTATGGTTTTACATTTATTGATCTGTTGCTTTTACCCCCACCTCCCTTCATAACATAAGTTTACATTATTCAGGGAGAACTTCATTTACATATTGTAACGCGTTAATTTTTGGGTGATTGAGAGGTAAAAAGGGCCGAATCTTGGTAAAGATTTTGTTATGTTCACCGGACTGGTACTTCACTTGTGCTTCCTAAATCAGTGTGATGCAACTCATTTTTCTTATTTTGAAGTAACCTTGATCTTGTGGGATGATGAATGTTTATTATCTTACATTGATTCGATTAAATTCTGTGAAATTTTATATATTCGTAGATGTGCTTAGATTGTTCCTAACTTAAATTTAACGTTGCAGGACCTGAAGTGTTTTGTGTTCTCACTGATTTCACTTCATTTCAAGATCAAGCCAATTTAATAAAATCTTAAAGGTACAGCGTAGATGTTCGGACAATGCACTTACCCCAGTTGCCTTTTATGTCCATGGATTTTTACTTTGTGTGGATGATTGCCTGCTTTGGCATTGAAACCTTTGTAGTTCAGTTTGAGGCTTGCTTAATATGAATTTACACCGGCTGTTTATCTTTTCATGYTGTTACAATTTATTTTTGTTAAAAAATTCAAAGTGTAATAGGTTTAGGCAACCACCAATTTATGATGTTTAACTGTCAAGTATTACATAAAATGATGGCAAATTAATGATTTTTGTGAAGATGCAGGATTATGTTGTTTAGGGTGCGTTTCGTATGCTGACAACACTGGAGGGAGTTAGACTAGACAAGACTGGATTGACGAGAGTGAGGTTGACATGTGAAAGAATTGTGAAAGATTTTAGGGTTTTAATTTGATATAGGTACAATAATTAACCAATCTTGCCTCATCTGTCTGATTCTTGTTCCACCTATTTTGGTGGGAATAAAAAAAATGCATTTTTGTCCCACTTAAGGATGTTTGGTTGGTTTTCCATCAAGTACTGAATGGATAAAGCCGTATGTCTGGATTAATCTCATTGAGAAGGTTTTTGTTTGGGAGAGTTTATTCATAGAAGAAACAAGTGCCCTTTCTAGTCAGGAATGACAAGTTTGGAAAGAAACTTGGCTTTTTGTATAAAGCTCTGCCCTTAAACTTACCAAATAAGTTATTTTTTATATCGTTAAGCCACTACCAAGCAGTCGTGTGTAGTTGACCGAATAATCTGAGTCCCATTAAGCTGCTAATAAACAAACCCTTAATCTTGTCCGGTCTTAGTCTAATGTTGTGTCAAACATGTCGGTCCTATCCTATGTATCAAACCCTCCTTAAGAACTGCAACATGCTCCAAGTGATGTAATATTATGGTCACGTCTACTCTATTTTTTTTATCTTCTATATTTATTCACCAATTTTTCTTTTTGGTGCTTTTCCATGAGTATGAATGTTGTATCCTATAAAATTATGATGAATGATACATATAATAGTATATAGAGGGTTGGGTTCACATGAGACAAAACTGTTTTCGTAACACATAATTTTTTTACACTTGAAACTTCACAATAAAATGTTGTGAAGGTAAAAGAAAGCCGAACCTTCACAATGTTTTGCTGTAAAGTTTCAAGTGTAAAGATCGTGTCTCACGAAAACAGTTTTGTTTCACATGATCCCAAGTCTCTCTCTGTATATGTAATTTTTTGAATGTAATTTATTTACATTTAGTTTATATTTAGATTGGGCAGGCGAAGTAATGTAATTTGAATGATTGGGGCGCGAATATTGAACAGATCTAAGGAGCAAAAGTTTTAATCATGCAATGTGTAAGTCTTGTTGTTGGACAAGCACGAGTGCACGACAAATTAATCAAAGAAAATTTGTTGACTTTTTTTTACTTAAAAGTCAACCCATATTTCTGTCCAGAGATCCTTAAACGGCTAGCTGTGGATGATGATGTTGAGATTGGCAATCATCTTCGTTGATGGAACAATGATCTGCSACTATGGTAGGAACTTGTGGAGCTGAGCACAGAGGAGGAAATCCCATCATCCTCATCTCCGTTTGGAGGTATGTACAGTAGTCATGGAAGGTGTTTGGTGTCACGTTTAATTGGAACCCCAATCCGAATAAGAAGTCGACTTCAAGCAGGTTAATCTCAGCCGTTGATATCCCTCCAACTTTTGCGTAGTAAGCATTATTATAACAYCTGAACCAAAAATAAAAGAAAACAATTGTGAAAACTTATACATCAGATCTAAATTGAAATCTTGATAAGAGTTCACGAAAATTTTATTTTGAATGATTAAGGTGCCGTTTACCAAACGTTTGGCCGGGTAAGCGCTTACCAAGTCGCTTTACTTTATCGGATGAATATAACAAGAACTAAAAATCTTACTCGGTAAGAGCAGGACAAGATTTTGTGAGGACTAATTTAAAACTATTTTGATAGGATTTAAAATATTGTTTCATAATATGATAGTTTTACATGTATTTGTTTCACTATATAAAACATTGTTATGTTTCGATAAGTTAAAAAAAAAGTTTCACATGTAATATCCTTAGGAGGTGAACACGGACAGATGTGAAACAATACCTTAAATCATCGTTTTTGATGAAAAAAAATCATATAAAAAGATATTTTTTATACTGGTTTTCATGGATTTGTAACTTTTTTATGGTTCTCATTTGATTATCGTTATATATTCTATACGTGTAATCAAATAAGAACAGCAAAAATTGAGAATTGTGAAAACTATATTCGTGAACTCACATATCATCCATGAATTTGATCGAAATAAGGACACTGGTAACAAGCAATCGATGGACATTGAGAGAGTTGATCGGCAAAAGCGGTTGTTTCTTTGCGAACCGATCGAGATAGATATAAGCCACCACGAAGCACGAAGGACTGCAATTGGCGTACTTGAAGATCTGCTCCAGGTATCTCCCGATGCTTATATTCGGCTTAATCAACGCATAAAAAACAGATATCTTCTGAGTGTTTAAAGGACGCTCAAAATCGTTAGATTCAGCAACTCTTTGGAGGAGAGACGATAAGAGATTTATGAGGTTGGGCATMACAAGATCCGCCATTGATGTTCCAGAAGGTTCAGAAACACACACATAACACCGTGGTAGTATGTGTGTTGTTATATACACAATAAGGGTTTTAGAGAATGCGTTGGGTGTGAGCTGTGTGGCTTTTTTTGGAAGAATTCATGACATGCATGTCTTCAACCTCCAGGTCAGACTTAGCTTGCTTTCTCTTTTATTTCTTTTATTTTTTAATTTTTTTAAATAAAAATATTGGGAATTATACTCCATCAATTACGCTCATTTAAATATCATTTACCATATTTTCGATATTTTTTTTAATTTCGATTTTTATAAAAAAACATTTTTAACCACAAGGGTGGTGCCTGATTGGTTTGAGCTTAATTAGCTCCGAAGGTCAAAAGTACTTGGAGATCTCAGGTTCAAACCTAAAGAAGAATAAAAATCCCGAAGTTCAAATGCACTGGCTCATTGCTCTGAATTAATCGGCTTGCATAGAGGGTTGAATATCCAGATTAATAAAAAAACATTTAATTTTTGGATATTTTTGCCAAAAGATTGTGATTGAGATTTGGGTATATACATAGTCGTGGAGAAGCATCTTCTTCGAGATTATTTATTCAATTAATRGGAAACCATATATGGGTAAATCTGTCCAAAAATATTTACGATGATTTTTTTTTTATATTTTAAAACAATATATTAATTTTGTAATTATATTTAATTGTTAATTTACAAGAATTCATTACATGTTATATGAACACTATTGTGTTATTTTTGGG